AGCTATATATATACAATAATTTATAAAAAGAAAATTATAAATATATATTAATTTAAAAAATTATTGATCATAAACTTTTAAAGTTTTATATCATAAATATTTATTAATATCATAATAAGATTAAAAACTTTTAAATTATATATATTACTAAAATTTAAAATTAAATGATAGATATAAAAAAATAAATGATTCATGATTCATTGTATGAAGATAAAACTCATAAATGTCAAATGAAAGATAAGCAGAGATTATTATAACAAATTAAATATGACAATATAATAATTAATTAAAATTGTTTTATATTTTGAATAAACATAATATAAAAAAAATTAGATTTTGGAAATAAAGAAAAATATCCAATACGATTTTAATAAATTTAACAAATAAAAAATTATAATTTAATATGAATAATAATTTTGATAAATTGACTTACGAATAATATTTTTTTAGTATAAATTAATAAACTATATTTAGTATAAATTAATATACTATATTATAATAAAAATAAAAATTTAAAATTTTTTTAAGATGATATATATTTAATTAAATACATTTGTTATTAGAATAAATTTAGCAAAAATTCTATTAAATTTTTGTTTCATTACAACTATTAATGTAACACAATATTCTTTTTATTTATACTATAAATACATTTTCATTGCACAGAAATAATAAATAGACATTACTTGTAAATAGGTGAATATGTTACTAAACTGAAAGAATATGCTGAATATATAAATTTCTAACATTAAAGGTTGTCAACCTCGATAGTTTTTTATGTATATATATTGTATATTAAGTATAAAATATTTAATATATAAATATTTTAAAATGTTTTAATAATTTATTTTATTATAAAAATTTATATTATAAAATATTACATTAAACATGTAATAAAAATTTATTATAACTAAAAATTCATTTAATATAAAAATTTTTTTATTGTATGGTTATTATTTTTAAATAAAATATTCAAAATAAAAAAATATTATAACATTAAAGAAAAGTAATATAATATAAAAGGACAAATTAAAAAATCTATATCTAATTTATTTAAAATATAATATATAATATTATTTTGTAATAAATTAGAGATATATGTATTACTATTAATTTAAAAAGACCGCTAAAAAAGAAATTGATTGATTATCTTTTTAAGTTTGTTGAAAATGGTACTTTATTCTAATTCATACAAGTATTGGTTATCTATAGAACGTTTAAGGATTCAAGTTTTTATTTACACACCCGATTTGTGAATTATAAAACGTAGAAAATATGCGGGTGTTAGAAATTATATTTACTGTTCAAAGCAATGGATAATAAAGTCATATGCATATTTTAAATTATTATCAGATAAAAAATATGAAAAAAAAGTAGAAAAACATTTTGTGTGCACAAATATAAAAATTTAATACGAAAATATGTCTTCGTTACATAAAAATGAAAAATTATCCGAAGTTTTAGAACTATTTCTATTACCTAATTATAACATCGTATCTACTACCTATCTCGATCTTTTATTATCTCATATTTCTAAAGATATTAAAGAACGTAAGAAAATTTCAAATGCCATTATTATTATTTATAGTAAAATTATTATAAAGAATTTGTTTTTATATATAATCTTTATTATATTCATTTTAATTTATTATATTGTATTTTATTCTATTTAAATATGACTCATGTTTTATTACATATTTTATTAAATTTCAGATGACACAACTAATTATGAAAATTGTGAATTATTTCAAAAATGGGTGTTAAAGGCATTAAATATATGGAATTTTGAATGCCTTCCCTCACAACCTATAATTATATTTACTTTAAAACTAATAGGAATAGTTTCACATAATGAATTAAGTTTTCACTATTGGCAATCTAAAGATGTATATAATAGAATATGTGTTATTTTTAATTTACGTAAAGATGATTTGCCAGTGTCTATTAAAATGGCTTATATCACAATGTTATTAGACTTGA